AAAAAAAAAAAAAAAAAAAAAAAAAGAAAAAAGACAATGCGATAGTTTTGGAACATACAAATAATATAAATATATATCTTTTCATATTCGATGACGTCTCGAAACGATTGTAGAATTCAACTACCGCTCTGTGTCAGATATATATACGGAAGTATATATGTGCTTTAGCGTTTTAGATCGCCGCGAGCATAAGAGAAAGAAAGAGATAAACAGAGAGTTAAACATCTTCTTCTTATTGTTTAATGGATCAAACCAAAACAAAAAAAAAAACAAAAAAAAAACAAAACAAAAAAAATAACAATCTACTCACCTGTTCCTTATAACTATATATTACTACTATTCTCTAGATCTGACTTATCTGATCCCAGAGCCTATTAAACGTGTATTAATCCGTTCCATGCATTAACGCGTGCATATACTGTATTCTTCCAGATATATGCGCTTAATGGGGGATGTGTATTTTTCTCATTTAACGTACGTTTACATCCGACATATACATACGACTTTTAACGATGTGAAAACAAAAAAAAAGTGCGCGCCACGAGAGTGCGATGTGTATTAATATATAACGTAATAATACATGAAAATATATGCGATATATTTATAATAATTTTAATAATGTTTACAGAAATGAAAAAAAAGAAAAAAAACGCGCGCGCGCGGATTTGCGGAACGAGATGTGACGTAAACAGTATACTGTGTATATATATATTAATACGCGATACACACACTGAGGAGAATAATCCGAAACAAATCTATAATTGAATCCGCGAATTTTGTCTAGAATAAATTGTAAATTGACGATCAAGACGGAGTGTGTGATTGTGATGTTTGTTCCCTGTCCTCGTCTAATCACACCTAATATACACATATCCCGACTAACTAAGCTGGCTTCTTTTCTTATAATTTCGTCAAGAACACAGTACTGCGGGAAGCAAGTGTGTATCTACCGTGATCATAACACCAATCAACCACTCACCCACCTTGCTGCCACGTGTTGCTAATGAGCACTTACTCATCTATTCTTCAACACGTCCAAGTTGCTGGCGACGTCGATTCCTACGTACCCTACGTATACTTATGTCGAGATTTGTTCTTCCTCGTTCTCTTTGAGAGATAATTGAAACTTTATCTGATTATGCCAATTTCAATTGTTTGACAAGAATGACATTTTTCTAACAATGTTAACACATAAAAAAAAAAAAAAAACACGTTGTGTTGATGTTTTTATAAATTAACGTGGTCAAACGTGTTGAAACAATGCGCAAAAACGTGTGCACGAGTCTCGACGCGTAGTACTGTGTGTCTTGGATTTCATTTATAATTTGCTGGCGTACAGCCGTGCCACCACCACCACCACCATCATCACTACATCCGAACCTGTGACTCGGGCAAGCATGTCGGTTCCTCCGACGCTGACAATCTCCGGATCAACGAACAAGAGTAACGACCATAAGACGAATCAACAGCCGTTGCAACGTTCTCTTACCGGAGGATTAGAATGCACGCAACCACGAACGCCCAGCCCAACTAAGAGCAGACTGAACTTTCTAGAGGGGTTTAAGAATACTCTACGCACGCGTTCGCCAGTTCGCAACAATTCCGTCCCGGTGAGTCAATTAATGGTGTCTTTTTACGCCACTTCAGAATGGATTTTATACGCATATATATATATATACACACAAACACATATATACATATTGATTATGTATATTATTATTATATCAATTAGAATTTTTGATGATTGCAGCAAAGGGACTCTCCTTCCTCTTCCTCTTGATGCCTGTCGCTATCTACTGCTATCTATTGCATTACCTTCTGTCGCTGCGACTATAAGTCATACTTCTGTTATTAAAAAAAAACCACACACAAAAAACAAATTATCGGTTGTATGTTAAACAATCGTGCACCATAAGTATCACACGCTATCTGGTATCTTCTTCATTCGTGTAATGAAATCTTTTAACGGACATACGTTACAAAAAACAAATACAGGCGTATTACATATTTCGGAAAATTAATTAATTAACACAAAACACAAAAGGAGGAAAGAAAACTTCTTATAACTTTTAATTTTGCCGCTTTTAACACTTTCTTACTTGCTATGTACTATATGTATGTATCATGCTGCTTTTTTGTTTTTTTTAATTAAACATTTTTTTTTTTTTATCTCAAACACATTCTACACCACCTCGTTACATATCGTCACAATCGAAACCGTCTCTCTGTAACTACTATCGCTGTTACACTCTAAGATTATTACAGCTGTCAATCGAAATGTCAATATTACAATCGTTGTTGCATCTCTATCGATAATACAATATTGTTTTACTATTGTTACTGCTACTATCGCTACCGCCGCTATTGTATTGTGGTTCTGGAAGCTCTTCTTCTTCTTGGGGTCGAACTTGCTGGTGAATATGAAATGAGATGTATGCGACGGCAAGTTGCACGAGAAATGTATTTATAAACGAAAATATTGAACGTTCGAAAAATATATACGTAACAAGAAGGCTTCCTTAGGTCGTTCCAGGTGCCCGCGTAAGATTAGCCGCGGATTGGGGAAAATTACACGCCGGCGATGAGCTTGTCGTCTCCCACTTAGACGGTCCGGGTTTGGTAGTATCTCCGATAAATACTAAGGACGAGCTGTGGATCCCGGCGAGTCTTATTCCAAACTCGGCAATCAGTCGCGCGTGGTCATTTCGACCGCGAAAAGTCGATTTTACAAAAACCAATCACTCTCTCGATTCTCACGAATCGACAAGAACGACGACGGCGACGACGACGACGATGACGACGACAACGACAACAACAACAACAACAACGACGATGACGCTTGAGGAAAAAGCGCCGAATATTCTGGGCAATCCGGCATCGGTTCGCGCGACCGCTGGAGAAGTTGTCAGATTGTCCGTCGAGACTCATAACATAGACGATGCGATCGTCACATGGAGAAAAGAAGGAGAAGATAAATACATAAGGGAGAGCGATCGGTATCAGTTTCAACGAAGTGCGGGTTTCGTGTATTTACAAATCACAGGTGTCCGACCTTCAGACTCCGGGATGTATCACTGTTACATGAAATGCGAGACGGGCACCTGCTCCGCGAACGTATCACTCTGTGTCGTAGGTACGCGAAGATTTTATAGTTATAAATTTATTGATTTTTTTATACAGCATGTTATTAAAATCGGTTTTGTTTTTCAGGAGGAAAAAGCAGCACCTTAGCGCGCGTTTTAGGACCTTCAAAAGTGGAAATCGACTGGGATAAACAGGAGATTGGCAGTGCGTTGTGTAGCATAGAATGCAGAACTTTACCGTTGCAACATTGGGTACCGATGTTAAAACAGGCCAATGAGCCACCCATTGTACTGAACTTGTCGTCAGATGCTTCATACAGTTTTCGAGTGGTGGGAGATGACGGAAGAACAAACCTGCCGTCTATCGTGGTAACATTGTCGAGATTAGAGATTGACGGTGGCGCGGAATGGGAAGCTAAACAGTTCGTTGGCAGATATTTGGAATTGGACGAGTTAGGTAACGGTAGATTCGGCATAGTCCGTCGCGCCAGAGACAAGGGCACCGGCCAGGAGGTAGCACTCAAGCAGATACCGCGACACAAACAGCCGAGATCACTGACACGAGCAGAATATGACATGCTGGCCTCAACTCATCACGCCAACATCGTCAGAGCGTTTGCCCTGTTCGAAAATGCGCCTCGACCTGGCGTGGACACTATCGTTCTGGAATTGTAAGTTTCTTAAAAAAAAAAACGCGTCGGTAACGAAACACGCTAACCAATCCTTTTTTCTTTTTAGGGTGAAAGGTCCGACATTGTTTACATATTTGAGCGAGAAAACAGAATACACTGAAGCAACGGCGATGCGATATACCGGTCAGTTGTTATCTGCGCTGTGCTGTCTTCATTGTCGTAGCCGAGCGCACTTGGACGTAAAACCAGAAAACGTTCTCATTGACCAGGAAACGGATCAGGTGAAGCTAATAGATCTGGGAGAGGCAGTAAAAGCACCTGTCGATGAAATTGTGCCACCTCCAGCTGATCTGGAATTTGCAGCGCCTGAATCAGTGCTGGGTAGACCAACCGGTTCTTACACGGATATGTGGGCTATCGGTGTTTTTATTTATGTTTTGTTAAGGTATTTATTTTTTTCCGGTTTTAAAAAGTTTATTTTAATTTAATATCTTAATTTCTTTAATTTTTTATTTTTTTTTAATTTTCGATGATTACATCATATTTATTTGGACTTGTAATTTATTCTAAATGTTCAGTGGATTATCGCCGTTTTTGGACGATTCTGTGGAGGAAACCACTGCTAACATACTCAAATGTGATTTCTGTTTTCCCGACGAATATTTCGAGACGATATCCAGTGACGCGAAAGAGCTCCTGAGAAGATTATTGTGTCTGCGTGGTGAAGATCGAGCTAATGCAGAGCTCTGCCTTAACTCACCGTGGTTGAAGGTAATAAAGCCATTGAATAAAACTTTGATGTATGCTCACAAATCGCAATTCAGCATGTAACTTTTACTATTGATTTTAATACTTGAGAGATACTGTTACGATGAAATATCTTATAATGAAGGTGTCGAGATTTAAGGAAAATGTTATTGAAAAGTAAAAAATGTTAAATTAAAAATGTTATTTATTTGTTGTTGTTTTTTTTTCAGATATCAACTGGCGCTACCATACCGTCCATTAGAATGGCCGCATTTATCGAACGTCGTGCTCATTGTCTTAAACTGCGTCAGGATCACATATAATAATAGATTATATTCTTGAAGCTCTCTCTTAACAATGTGCAAAGTAAGCATGTTACTTAAAATACACATGACAAATTTATATATGTAAATAGTAAAATATACTTGAATGTCTTAACTGTTGATATCTTCTTTGAATTATTTTGTAATCGAATATCCTTATAATTCCATATAAATTTTATCTTTCATCTTAAATTTTTTTGTGCTGCTACCCCAGTACCATATACTCTTGCAATGCAATTACATATATGCACAAAATAAGAAAAAATTAAATAACATTGTACAAATGTTAACTTTAGAATGAGAAAAGAATATTTAAAAAATGCAAAACTATGAAAAATATATGTTAATGTCATGTAAATTTATATATATACATATATATTATATATATATATTATATATATGTATGTATACTTATATATATTTATATATTAGTACAAAATACAAATCAAACATAAGCCATATAAAAAGTTAATATATTTATTACGTAGATAAGTATTTAACTATTTATGTGTACTTGTATAATTGTATACTTTACGAAATTTATATGTTGTAGCTTGTATATTATAAATCCTTGTATTCCGTTCTCTTTAATATTTTCCGATTTGTAATCGAAAAATATTAAAATTTAGAGAACGATATAAATATATAAATATATATGTATACAAGTCAAACATCTCTAACTCGAATATCCACAAGAAATGATATTCTAATTATATACATATGTCGTTATATATATATATATATATATATATACGTACATAAGATTCCGATTGTAAAAATTCAGAAAACTGTAATTGTAGTATACGTACAGAGATAGAGTTGTTTATCCCTTCACACATAAAGTAGCATTTTTCAGTATTAAAGTATTATTGAGGCATTATTGATGCAACTTCATGTATAAAAAGGCCATTATTTATATAAAAAGTTTTATCTTTCAAACTTCGAGTAATAGAGATCAATTTTGAATTACTTTATTTGATGAATTGCTACTTAATGCAATTTCCTATTGTTCTTTTTGCGTGACTTATAGATGATTTCTTTATACAGAGTAATAAATAAAAATTTGATTTATATACAAATTTTCGAGTTAGCGAGATTTGATTGAATGCAGAGTCTCTCTCACAACTACTGCTGCTTAATATTTTTAGATTTAGATCTTCTTGTGAGACGAAAAATCTAATACAAAAACAGCAAAACTATAATAGTACTATAGTACTATTCAGATATGACAAAAGTAGCAAGTGGTGAAGATAAGATATCCTTTAATTGGATATATTCACATCGATGAAAAATGTAAGTAAATTAAAACAACGTGAAATATTCATATAATTTCACGTTGTTTGAATTTCAAGAGTCTTAAAACTCTTTAATAAATAAATTAGTTTTGAAAAATAATTTTTGCATATAAATGTGCAACATGTTTTTTTTCATCGCAGACGCATATATCATGTGTATATAGAAATATAAATATGATATAATATAAATATATTATTTAATTTGTATAGTCATACATGATTTACACGTCTGAAATGACTAAATGTGTCGTTGGTACATATGGAAATTAATTTTTCAAAAATAATCTACTTGTTTTTTTTTTTTTTTTTTTTTTTTATCGATTAAACGTCGCTCCAATTAAAGAAATGTCTTTGCCACTCGCTGCTTATTGCTTGCCATATCTGAACGCTCAATAATCAGCACTGAAACTGATAATTTTTAATCGTTTATTTAATTTAAAAACTACTATATAAGCGCTTTTGACTGTTACAAGTTGAATTGCTCATGAAACGACTAATAACATCATCTCAATAAATTAAATAATAACTGAACTCAATTTGACCTATACACGCGCGCACGCGCACACACAATTGTCCAAAACCAATCAAAAACGCTAATAGTGACTCTTGTCGTTTTCATATTAAACTTTTCATCTGAGAAAATTCTGAAGAATCTACCCTAAAAATATTAATCGACAGTTGTGGGACACGCTAAGTATTTCTTAATAAATAAAATAAAAAGAAGTAATTACGTTTTAAAATTGTTAAGTATAAATGTTTTTAAATATTACTTGTACGAACAATTTCACTGAAGGCAGAACACCAAAATTTATACAAATAATCCCAATCTTCAGGAGTGCTTTCAGGATTGTTTCTATACCAGCGAATAAACGTATTAAGTCCATCAAAACCATCGATTGCTGTATCATCAGGCAGAAAACCACTCTCAGTTTCTGCCGGTTCTTCTTCATCGTCTTCATTTTCATTATTTAAGTAAGCATGATCATCACTGTCCAACCATAACTTAACTGCTTCTGGTGTAATATTGTAAGTAGGAATTCTATTCACTATATCTAGAAATTGTGAGCTCTTGTTACACTGTGACTCAGTTTCTGAACAGAATGGAAAAATGTTTTTCCAAGCATTCTTTATATCGTTAATCGTTACTTTATCCCAGGAATTATTCACTAAATAACAACATTGAAGAAGGTCAAATGATTTTAATAGTTTCTGATGGTGTTCAGGGGTATTTTTGGCAAATATTAATCTTATAAAGTTGATTTTATACATTTTTTTAAAATTTGCTATTATTCCATTACTCATAGGTTGTACGAGTGTGTCAACATTAGGAGATAAGATCATTACATGACATCTCTGACTAATTGAATTGTAATACTCTGCTGAAGGATGATCTTGCATATTATTAAGTAAAAGAACACATTGTTGAAGACTGGGTCCATGAACACGCTCAATTTCCTGCATAAAAACTTCTTGATACCAATATAACATTAGTTCTCTGTCTATACAAGCATTTTTTTGTCCTGTGTAAATAACAGGACAAGATTGTACGTTTGTGAAGCAACGTGGTTTACTGATTTTACCTACAACTAAAATCGGAAGTTTGTGACTTCCTGTGACATTTGTACATAATATTAATGTTATTCTATCTTTAAATGGCTGTATTTCAGAAGCTTCGAGTTCATCATTGGTAATTAAAGTTTTTTGGTTATTTGGTGACATTTTCCAAAAGAGACCAGTTGCATCAGCGTTATATACATTATCTAGTGGTATGTCATTGGTAGTAATATATTTGGAAAATTCTTGACAAAATTGGTCGTTTATCTCTTGATCCGAAGGTCCTTTTTTTTTACGATTATGTGTGCCACCAATATTATGTCTTTTTTTAAATTTTGACAGAAAACCACTTGTTGCTTTAAAAGTTTTGGAACCATCTAACATATTATTAAGTTCTAATGCTTTTTGTTGTAACATTCGTCCTGTCACATGATCACCCATGCTTTTTTTTTCGCGAAACCAGGTATACAAAGCTTGCTCAAGACCACTCTCCTCAACTCCTGTACATCTTTTCTTTGATGTGTTGCCATGATTCAGAAGAATTAATCTCTTCCTTTCTATCAATTGTTCCTTGTGTCTTTTAATCTGTGCAATTGCTGATGCAGTTACTTTGTATTCCTGTGCTAGATCAACTGCTTTTTCACCATTTTTCAGTCGTTCTATAATTGTGTTCCGATCCTCAATACTGAGACGTGTTTGTTTTTTATCTTTCTAAAAAATAAGATATAAGTATATATTATAAAATATGTAACTGTTTTATTTTTGTAGCATAATTAACATAATTTTATGAAAATAATTAACATAATTATATAAGATATTGGGTTGATCAGAGTTTGTTTGAATTTCTGTAGCCTATATCAAATAGCATGTTGAATATGTTATAAAAAATAACAATTCTGAATATACCATTTTAAAACAATTGTAATGATTGCTTTTTTCTGAATAATATTAATATGTGATTTAAATCTAGAAGATACAAATGTATATTTTGCAGCAAAGACAAACGTATAATTTTTATTATCAAAAAAGTAAAAAGCACAAAAACACATTACTGTAGAGACAATAGCGTAAATGATTAATCATATTATAAAATCTAAGCTGGAGATTTTTTTTGGAAGATACTCCAATCAAAAAAATTCATCGAGACAATTACTAAATCATTATTTTGATGCAAAATAATCAGCACCAGAAAAATTGTTCATTTTAAATATTTAAAAGTTATATTTCAACATTAAATTTTCGAGTTTTAAGATCTGAAAAAAATCCAAACAGACTTTCTAACCAAACCATACTCCTTATAGGTTATAATGATTTTTAAAATAACATACCGCAGTTGATGCCATTTGAGATTAGATTTTAGATCTTACTTTTGCAGTTATTACAGAAAAATAGTACCTTTTGACCACTTCAGCTTGATAATAATAACATGCAATGATACATGACGTTATAACGGTTCATAACATTTCACGCACTTTGTTAGGTACACCACAATCATTTTTTCACGCCGACTCACGCTGTGTGTGTTCTCACAGTATTCTTTATTCTTTAAACTCACAACGCTCTTTTATTTCACATTTCACCTTTAGTATATAGAAACCTTTTTACTCAGAGCTCCAACCACGTTAAAGTTAAGTTTACATTAGGTTTACATTAGGGTTAGGGTTAGGTTAGGTTAGGTTAGGTTACGCCATATGCCGAGGCATGTATTAAAAGGCGCGCAATTGTTTACAGAAAAATCAAATTACGACATTAGTGACCCTTTAATCAGAGTCCCACAATCAATCCCGCTTCTGATTGATTGACCGCTCTTTTGTGACAAGTCGGTAGATACAAGCTGGATGGATGATTTTCTATTGTAAATCTTAATCAGTTCTGAATCTTCCGGTGTACTATCTATATTAAATAGTTAAAGACGAGCTCTGTCGCGATTCGATATTGTTCGATTCTCGAAATATCGAGATGGAATGAGCGGGCAATCGCGGCAAAGACAACGCGAAGAAGTATAAAATACATATCTATATCTTTTCTGCACGTTCGAATAATCAATGTAAAATATGTACAACGGAAGAATATTTCGTATACATTATACGTCGTATACATTAAAATGTCCTCCGAGATTATCAGCAAACATTTTTGTCTTTCTTCTTGCAAGCAAATATAAATTAAATAACAAAAATGTGTTTTAAAAGAGTACGTTGACTTTTACAAACTGCGTAACACTTTCTACGACATAAATTTTATTGCAATTTTGAGTTCTTGCCTTGTATTGTCACGATCGACCGAAGAAAAAATGAGTAAAAGCAATCTTTATGGCATCTTCTAGTGAAAAAATTTACAGTAAAGCAAGTTATTAAACCGACGGCAAATGATTAGTACATTGACTTAGTACAAATTTATTTATGTATAATATGTATATTAATGATATACTGTGAGATTACTATTTCTCAACAAATTTTGTAAGAACAATATGTAATACGTACATAACTTGTTATTGTTCAATGTAAGCGTATTCGCAGCTATTTACAGACTACAGAAAAAAATTGCGTGTTATCAGAGCGCGTAAATAGTTTTTCGAAAAGCATTATGTGCTTGCGGCACGAGATTTTGTAAACAGTCTATCGAAACGTTATCGGAGACTTGCTCGTTTGTCGAGCACAGTCATTTCTGTGTATAAAACTTGGTCACGTGCTTCCAGAAATACCCAAGAAATAATATTTATCCGTGGCTCGGCTGAGTGCGATCAGCTGATTGAAGTTGATTTATAATCGAGGCCAAGTCGCGTGAGTCGCGCAGGAATTCGCAAAATAATCATGGCTTCTTCTGAGCGATCGAGTGCGAATGCTGACTTCAAAACTCTTTGTAAGAACGACATCTGATAGACACGCGAAACTTTCGTCATATAGTTTCTTCTATATCAGAAATACTTTATTTTACAAAATCAAACCAAATTGCAAAATAGCAAATTAGTACTTTTATATACGTGACATTTTTTATCTTGCGGTAACGTCAACTATTATCAAAAATATTTTTTTAAAGAAATTATAAAAATAAATTATTTCATCGCGTGTGCGCGTGTGAATCATCCAAATAAAATTATTTGGATAACAATTGTTTAGATCTTTGTGAAACTTTACTGATAAAATCAATTTTTTTATTAATAAAAATTTTCTAGTTTTTATTAATATTTAACATATATATGCAAAATAAATTTATTTTATTTCTTATATACTCACTTTTGCTGTGGCTGCTATTAATCGAACTGCTACTATATGTGTTAGTTTTACGATGACTTCAATTTTGGTGATGCTGATGTTATTCCTGGCGGACAGCGGTGTTTGCAATACCGGTGAAGTTGCAGTATTATATATAAGTATGCTTCTAAGTAATAAACGATAAGTAGGCAAAAAAATCATACCTAAATAAGAAAATATTTTCTTTAATTGCAACACACTTTTATTCACAGAACAGTGGTGATTCAGAAACAAATGTTACATTGCATACAAATGTTTTCACATAAACTTTCTTGAAAACATTGATAAGAACTAAGGAATTGTCACAATATAATAAAGATTAGTTTGCAAATTTTTTTATTATACTTTTTTTATTATACACTTCTGTGATACATATCTGTGTTCAAACATATTTAAAAAAAACAGAATAAATTCTACTTAAAAATACATTACAATAAAATTATCATTTGTCCGGGTTTTAATACATAAAAAATATAACGAGTAACATTATTTTATCATACATAAAACTGTTTGATATAGATTTTGTTTTTATATAAACTTTTTCGTACATATCATAGTTTTATATCCTTACATATTTGTTTTTATATACCGTCGGCTTTGAAATTTTTTGTGCGCAATTGATTATAGTTAACTATATAATATACTTAATAGCATTTTTTGTGTATGATGACGTATAGAATCTTATTTACATTTTTCAAAAATTCAATTTTCTTTTATGAACAAATTGCAAATTATTACATAAACTAAAATATATTCCCGTACTGATATACGTAAAATATATTTAAAATAAATATTTACTATAATTTACAATTAATTGAGTGTCATAAACAAAATTGAATTTTTTATATAACAGTATCCAGTTATATAATAGTAAACACATAAACATGTACAAATATTATTTTTCAGTTAAATAAAAAAATAGCACACTAATATAAAAGAAAAACTTATTTTTCCATATTTTTGTAATCAAGTAATTCGTGGACTTTGTAACGAATGTTATATCGTGTTCTACTTACAAAACTACGGCGAGACTCAACTTTTTTTGCTATGATGTCGTTGATAAACATTGCCTAAAAAAGATTACAACATATATTTTCGATACTACATTGGATATATTTTGTATAAATATATTTTGCGAACTTTGTAACAATCTGTACACGATATGAATTATATTTTGTAATATTTAAAATCAAAATAACAGTTTTAAATAAAACTAGTGTACAAATACTAAACATATATTTACAACTTTTCGATGTTTCTGTTTATAAAAACCTTGTTATAAAAAAACTTTTACCGTGTTTACATCATATACGTCGAGCAGGTTTTCCAAAAGCAGTACTACAGTCTTATTAGCCTAAAACAATCGTGTGATGATAATACTGAATGTAATGATTTGTGTGTGTGTGTGTGTGTGTGTGAAACTTTTAATTAAACATGATAATCTTATATTACGCTAAATTAAAAGTACATACAATACTGTTATAATTGTAATATATACTCGCGTACTTACAAGTATTCATAAATAAGAGATATATTCTTTATTTATATATAGCTATATTAAACTATTACTTTTACACAACGTACCTTTTCGATATCTTCATCTAAATATATGTGGTTAATACTAAAATTCACGATTGCAAAGAAACACACCTCTCTTTAAAATGAAACACATATAACAGGTAGTTAGTACAAAATCTTTCTTAGTACATACACTTTACCTCTTATACATTATGAAAAAACATTTTATATAAAATGGATAAATCTACCGACAAATTCGATTGGATGCACTAGTGTGCACTGAGTGCGTCTTTTTTCGATATATAATAAAACATTTCTGTGTTAGTACAGTAGAGAGAGAGACTTCTATATCTCCGAACCTCCAGTATCCGAATAATCCTAATATCCAAACATTCTATCATCCGAACATACATGTTAATATATTCAATAAACATCGCTATATATACGAATCGTTGTTCGAATAACAGAATATTCGGATATTAAGATATTTGGATAATGAAGATTTGGATATAAGAGTCTCTACTGTACTTTACTACGCACTGAAATAAGAACTGAATGCGCAGTAGTGTCTCCAATCAAATTTGTTGTAATATACATATATAATAATAAGTTATATAAGTATATTGTAGAGTATATGAAAACAAATACTATATAGATAGTAGAAAACTAAATAAACAGTTTTTTATAAAAAAAATGTGTTTACCTTGGAAATTTATCTTGTATTTTGCTTATTATAGTGTCCAATGAAAAAAAATCTTTCACATGTCTTGCGACAAGATCGAAAAGAATAGTAACAGAATTACTTTCTTTTATCGAATCATGTTCAAGTTCTATTCGCAAAATTTCTATACTATAATGCAGTTTACAACAAGATAAATATTGAAGGAATTGTTCTTTTTTCTCTTGTAACATGTACATGTCCTGTATTGTTTTCCACGTCATATAAGTTATAATTTCTTTTATCGTACCGTGGCAATATATCCATTTTTGCCAACCTGCCAACAATCTGCAAATATTTACAAGAAAATATATAATTATACTCACACAGTATTACTCGAACGGTTTTACATACTTTTCTTATGACATCAAAATGAAGTATCGACACTCATGTTACATTTGCTATTACGGTTTTTCTAACTGTAGAAACAAAGAGTTTTTGACGGTATATTTACCTAAGTTTATACACAATTATACGTACTTGTAATGTACAAATTGATATACTTCATAAAAATAAATGTAATTATATTTACAGAATAATTCAGTCGCGAACTTGTGTTATTACAATATCATAATTTTGTATCAACTCAGGTTACAGTTACATAATATTA